AATTTTGAAGCATAATCATCAACTTCGGTTGTTACATTAGAAAAAAGGAAAAAACATTCTGTTATAAAAATTTATACTGTATTCATTCACGACACACTCTCTTATTATTTATAATAATTTAAAATGCTCGCGATAAATACTAAAATAAATAAGCAATAAAAATAACTTTTATATTTGTGCACAAATTTAATTATAAAATCGTAATTTAAAGAAAATTATTTTGCTGTCTTTAATAACTATTCGGTACATGCCAGTAAAAATATTTGCAATTTTAGAAAATTTATTAAACAATTTACATTTAATTTCCATTAATTATTTTAACCAATTATTTATTTTGAAAGGGATAAAAAAAATTTTTAATTGTCATTGTTTCACAATAAGTCAAAACTATAATAGAAGGAAGGGATTTAGGCTGATTCAAGAAAAGCTCATTGTTCATTATAGAAATTTTTCAATGTAATTTGTATTTTATGTTTTTGTTGAAGAACGAGGGTATAAACGATCATAAAATAAACAGTTTAATAATGCTCAAGCAATAGAATTATTCATGGTGTTTACTAATAAGTTTTAAAGTTCATGATCTTATAAACTGACAGACCATTATTTATAAGACTATATAAAAACTGTAACTCAGAGTAAAATACTATTGCATGCATTATTTCATTTTAAAATAATTTGTTTCGGAAATGCTTTTCTAATAAATTTATTTTATATTATTTACGTATAATTGAGAATGCTATAAGTTAAATCAGAACTATAATAAAGAAGCTAAATATTTAAAACGAGATTTATTTGGAAAAAAATTCCTTTGATGAGAAAAACAAATCCGCCCTAAAAACCTCAAAACAACTTTTGGATAATTTAAATCTTTTACCGATTACAAAATCACTCGAATCATTTAATTTTGGAAGACAAAATTTTAAAATATAGAAATGTTTTATTATGAAATTAAATGTTTTACAAATTGTTATTATTAATTATTATATTAAAGGAGTTGACAATATTACACATATTTTATCATATCCTGTAGTTTTATTATGTTGATTATATTAAAATTAATCTACAAAAATGAATAGAAAAAATGCCAAGCATGAGTCAATAATCGATTTACTGTTATTTTCATGTTAATTATTTTACCGTTACTTCTAAATTAGACTTCATATAATTGATGATTGCAATATTATTGACTTCATATGAATTTACTGTTACATTCAGAAATTAATTTTTATCAATAAATATATTCAATTGTGTTAAAGCAGTGAACGGTAATTTTCAATGACATTAATGACATTTTAAAAACCAGCTTTTGAATTGATTTTCTAAAAATAGAATTAAACATTTTCGCCTCATGTTTCAAAATAGTGCTTTGTAAACAATGACTTTTAGGACATATAAGAAAGGAAGAAAGAAAGGAATATCAATATAAAAGACTTCAAACAAATGATTTTTTTAATCCAAATAATGGGATTAACTTCCATAAGAAAATATACACAAAAGTTATTATTGAATGTATTTAGTGTTAGTAATATTTGAAAGTCTGAAATATATTAATTCAATCAAATAATAAATCCATATTGCTTATCTACAGAGGAAGCTAAAGTATAAAACTAAAAAAATTCTTAAACCTAAAATATTTTTATAGATTTAAAGAAGACTTGAGACAATTAAAGGATGATACTGCTAGTGATGAAGAAAGTTTACCTGAAATACGTCTACAAAGGTAAATTGAACACTTTTTACTTCAAAGCAATTCAGTGGCAATCAAGCTCTGCGGATATTTTTATTATTGTTTAAAATTTAGCATATTTCAGCTTTCACACGCGATGAGCTAACGATAAATATTTTGTATTTTTAAGAGAGTGAAATTTCAGATGAATAAAATTCTTTAGAGGATACAGAGGATGAAAGAAAAAAAAAATTAAAAAAAAAAGCGATTTNTAACATCCCCGCCGTACCTTAGCATTGCGCGTAATCGATGTTGATCATTAAAAAGCAATTTAATTTAAATTCTAAAATTTTTTCATTTCCGTAAACCAGTATATTATTTTGTATATTGTTTAAAGATGTCTATTCATTGCTCATAATTTATTTGTTAGTTTATTGAAGCTTTAAAAGCAGAGATCATTCAGATTACGAGCAATTATATACTATAGTTTCGGTTTTGTTTAGTTTCGGTTTACAGAACTTAGGTTAATTAAAATCGAAGGAAGGATATTTGCTTATTCAACCATAGTTATTAGTTTGGAGAGTCTGGTTCTATTATAACTGAAGTATAGATGCTTATATTAGCTTTTTTTTATATTTAAAAATATGATTTAACAGAACGAGTTCAAAACTAAAATCCTTTGAATTTTATAAGTTTACTATTATTGTTTTAAAATCGTTAGAATTAAAAATGCACATTAATGACATATTTTTTTTTAACAAAATATAAGCCATAATTAATTTTGTTAAATTTTCGTAATCGTAAATTTGTTAAATTTTCCGATGAGAATTAAAAATAATTATTTGTAGCATTTATTATGAATTCGATTGTACTATCTATTAATTTCCGATCCTTATTAATGCCTTTGCACAAATAATTATTCAAATTATTATTATAATATATATGTGTGTGTGTGTGTGTGTGTATATGAATTTATAAATTAAAACATAAGCAAAACTTAGTGTTTTTAGTGTTTCACGCAATCCTTTATTCTTTTAACTCTACAACGACGTATTTATTATCACATCATATAAACAAGCAAGAATTACGTTAGAGTTCAAGTTTTACTAAATTATACTTAATTAATCACACTAACCGAACTTCATTGGCAATAATAACCGGTTAATGTGATTAACCTGTATATTTTTGATATTTATCGAAAAAGGTTATTTTTAATGATTTTAAGCGTAACATTAGGAATCGTAAAAGGCACTTAAAAGGAAAATTCATAAAATATTTTAGAATCGTTTATCGTAATAAAGGAGTCTTAAATAACTCATCTTTGTATTTCATTTAAAAACCAACAATATTTCATAAGTTTTACGCTTTTTTTTTGTTAATCAATTCTCTAAAAATAATTATTTTATATCTGAATGAGGTAGTTTTATCTAGAATTATATTATTCTACTATAATCTTGCATTCTCTTTAAAAAAAGTACATAATGCCTGGATTTTTTGTTTTATTTTTCTCGATACATAGATTTTTTTGGGGTAAATAAGTGTTGCTTATAACTGACTGAAAATCATTTTTTTAACCTATGACTGAACATTTACAGCCCCTGGCTAAATTATTGGACGCACTGTAAGAGTCTATATAAAATCTTAATTATCAGGTGATACTATACAACTTTATTGTTTTTACGAGACTGAAACCGGTTTGCAATTGTTTGCGTTAGTGTATTAATTAGTTAAGTTAGACGATATATGTTATAAATTCGACGATTGGATAAATTAAACGATATATTATATAAATATAGAATATTTGTCATATCAGGTATTATATTAGTATATTATAATAATTAGACCAATTTATTAGTTGCTCAGTAGTGTTTTAATACTTGCAAGTTTTGTACGAATTTATATGTCATACTCCTACATTCAAACATAAATGTAATGGGTTTTTATAGAGGAGATATTTTATATACTTTCTATTTGTATTTATTTTTAACGTATTGTATTACAATGTTAACCAATTAATACACGGATACATAAACAAGTTTAAGCCGGTTTCAGCCACGTAAAAACAATAAAAGTGTTGAGTATCACTTGATAATTAAGGTTTTACGTAGAATCTTACAGTGCGTCTAATATTTTGGCCAGGAGCTGCATAAGCTTATTTAATGCATATATATGGAAAAATAATGAAAAAAAACCCCATTTTTTTCCTTTATTGAGACATATGATCTTCAATATTAAAAATATTTGTCGCCAAAACACTGTTTTATATCAGTCACAAATAATTTAATAACTGTTTAATCTGATTTTAAATGTGATTAAATGATGTTTGATCAAAGCACATATATCTCATAACTTATTTAATAATATCAACTTAACTGACTATTTATTCAAAACTTGTTCAGTGAGCACCCTGAAATTTGTTGAACAGTCGAATTGTAGATATACGATTTTTTTTTTTACAATTCGATTTCTCAGGAACTATTCGACCGATTTTGTTAACATTTTATACTTTGGCGCATAAATAATACAAAAAATAAGCATAAATAAGCAATGATTAAAAATTATTTCTCACGAAGTTAAGATCTTTGGGTATACGAATTTCATAACTATGTATAAGTATTTCTAAATCTCTTAAAAATGTCTCGATATATATACGTAAAAAGTAAAATTAACATTAATTGATCTTTCAACCACTCTCCTGACCCTATTTTCTAGAAACTTCCCATATTCTAAAGGTCAGAAATCTGTCAACAGCAAAAAGGGATTTATAAATTCAAAGAAAGTACGTTTTTGTATCTGATTTCTTAATTAAAATATCGTCTGCACTTAACATAATTTGAGGTCTCCCCCCTAAACGATTAAGATTGATTCTTAACGTGAAAATACGATCATTAGATATTCAAGGTGTTTTGCGGCTTTCTTCGTACTGTACATTAGCCTGTAAGCAACATTACAATTAAAGTAAGTCATCACTTGTACGATCGTTTTCATCAATATTTACACGAAACTCCTAATTTATGAAAATATTTTTTTTTATCTTTATTTTTGTTTTGTTTATCCATTTGTTAATTCTTTTGTTTAATTATCGCTCTTAAATTTCAGTTAAAAATGAGACACTGGGAAAAGTATAGATGTTAAATCCATTTTCAATTAAAACCCACTTTTTTCAAATAAAGAATAATTTCATCGAATTTAAAAAATTTTTGACCCCATTTACAGACGAAACTCGTGATAAAGAACACCATTACAAAATCTTTTAAAAAAAACTTTATTAAAAATTTTCGCACAGTTTGTTTGTAAATGATTTTGTGAATGTTTGGGAAGGTCTATTAAATGGGAGTTTTAATTTAAGAAAAGAGTGACGTCAGTAGAAAAACTCCTCAGTAGAATCTATTCTCGTCCTTTAGTTTTCAGTCAACAATGGAGTCAGTAAGACATATAACAAGAGTTATCAAAACTCGCCATGAATCTCATTTTCAAATGATGAGTGAAAAAAGGAAAGTAAAGAAAGTCATTGGCCGTTCTATAAGTCTCAATTTCAATACATCTCCTAACAGGTTTTTCTTTCATCATTTTGCATGTTTTTCACTCTTGGTAAACATAATATTGTTTTTTATCAAAATAGCCTTAGTTAATACGGTGGTTTAGACTTTTTACTTGATTTTAATTTCTTTTTAGAATGTGCAACTTTTTTTTCACTTATCTAAAATTTTACTTAGGATACTAAAATTTTTACGGGTGTTTAATGTGCAGTCTCTGGCTGTATTATTAGAGGCCCTATGAGATTCTATGTAAAATTATAACTATCAGGTGATACTATACAGCTGTATTGTTTTTACTTGGATGAAACCGGTTTGCATTTGTTTACGCTCCTGTATCAATGGGTTAACATCGTAATGCAATACGTTAAAAATAAATACAAATAGAAAAAATCTCCTGAGTAAAAACCCATGACATGTATGCTTAAATATAAAAGTATTGTATATAAACTCTTGCAAATCATGTCATTATTAATAAAAACTACAGTGCTACCAATAATTCAATCTAATTATTATAATATACTAATATAATGCTTAATATAATACATATTCTATATTTATATAATATATCGTCAAATTGATACACTTACGTAAGCAAGTGCAAACCGGTTTCAGTCTTATAAAAACAATACAGCTGTGTAGCATCACCTGATAATTAAGATTTTACATAGAATCTTATGGTGCGTCTAATAATTTGACCATGGACTGCAAGTACAGACATGTTTTGAAGAAATACTTTTTTGAAATAATGCAAAGTTAATTTTCCTTAGAATTAAAATTTGCAAACTAAGACATCTTGCATATAAAATGGCTTGAAACAACGTTTAATAGGTTGTCAAATATGTTCTTTTTCAAACCATTCTAGCTCAAAGCAATAGAAAGATTAAAAAAATTTTACCAATATTCAAGTGCTAATATGAATTTAAGCAACGTGCCATATTCCAACAAATAAACCACGTTTAACCACGTTTTAATTTAATAGGTTTATTAGAAGTCGGGAACTGCTGACCATCCGATGAAAAAAATTTAATTAAGAAAAACAGATTTAAATACAAATCTTTGAAAAAAGAACTCATGAAACTTAATAAACAAATAAAAATTAATAAACAAAATTATGCAAACGAAAAAAATAATGTGTTATTTGAGAGAGTATTTTTTGAGCATACTTGCTGTCAAATTGGTCAGAACAAAACAGGTCATAACATCCAGACCCTTTAACACTAAAAAGACTGAAATAGCCCAAACATTGTGAGTATAAAGAAATTTGTTTAAAATTATTTTTAAATATTTTTGACATTATTTTCAGTTTTATAACAAGTTATTAGCAACAAAAAAAATAATTATAAAAGTCAAAAAATTCTGAGAAATTGTGTCATTATATACATCATTGTTTTTCTAATTGAAATTAAAAATCAGTCAAAATGACTTCCTTGGGAAATCTAACGTAAACATATGAAGCATTTGGGTTGTAAAGAAGAATTTTTCTTTAGAACACTTTCATTATGTTTCATTGTTTATCAACTTGATACACTTCTTTAATAGTCTCAATTGGATGATCCTAAATTTTAACTGGAAAAAAAATTCATTTAGAGCACTTAATGAAAATAAATTCCAAATCTGCAGAATGTTATTACAGAAATAACTATTAAAATAAAATTAAGATTTAAATATTAAATTAAATAAATAAAATGAAACAACTAATTTGATAGGATTAGATAAAATGATACGAAATAAAAAATTATTCTTTCTTACGTCATTACGATGCTTCGGGAGTGGTTACTTATATTACAGAAGTAACAGGCAATCTCCTTGCATTTAGAACTCTGAACGATAAAGTGAATTTTAAAAAAAAACTAAATTCCAACAATGTAAACTTACTACTAGAGATGAGAAACGCTCGGCCCGAAAGCCCGAGTGTCAACTATGGCCCGGCGTAGGCTTGTTTGCTAAGAGAAGATAAAAAGGTATAAGAACGTAATTTTATTTATAAGGTATAAAAAAAAAATCTTAATTATCACGTGATACTAAACAGCTTTATTTTTTTATGTGATTGAAACCGGTTTGCACTTGTTTACATTAGCGTATCAATTGGTTAAATTAGACGATATATAATATATACCACCAAAACTAATTAGACTTGTAGAAGCAAGCATGTCAAACACCGTATGCAGAGTCAAACTTTTGGGATCTTTATCTGAAGAAATTAAAGTAAATAATGGAGTCAGACAGGGAGACTCCTTATCCTGTCTTCTTTTTAATGTTGCTCTAGAGAAAGTTATAAGAGATGCTGAAATCAATATCAGAGGCAACATATTTTCAAAATCTATTCAAATATTGGCGTATGCGGATGATTTAGACATCATTGCACGAACTGTTCCTGCATTAAAAGAAGCTTTCCTTTCTTTGGAGCTTGCTGCTAGGGATATGGGACTAATCATCAATACCGATAAGACCAAATACATGCCTGTACTTGCTAAATTAAATTCTAGTGAATCCTATCTGGAGATTGGTTCCCACAGGTTTCAGACTGTTCAGAATTTTACTTACCTTGGTTCAATAGTTACTGCCGACAATAACATAGACAATGAGATTCGGAGTCGTCTAATTTGTTCAAATAAAGCTTTTTATGGTTTAAAACGTTTTTTCAAATCCTCTCTTTTATCAAAAAATACAAAACTTTTACTCTATAAAACATTAATTAGGCCAATACTTACCTATGGCTCTGAGACCTGGAACCTAACTCAAGCTGGTGAAAATAAAATTGCCATTTTTGAGAGAAAAGTTTTGAGGGCCATCCTTGGTGGGATAAAAATAAATAATTCCTGGAGAAGACGATATAATACTGAACTGTATAAAATCTACAGAGAGCCAGATATTGTGAAATTCATTAAAATAAATCGAATGAACTGGGCAGCTCACATTTTCAGAAGGAATGATGACTCAAATTTAAAGAAA